TTCCTCAAATGCAGTGGTAAGAAGAGAATACCATACTCTAGATGTGGTGTGACCAGGGCAGAACATAACTTCTATGTGTCATACTTATATTAATCTTTCGTTGTTGAGTCATTTAAGTCATGTCCACTCTTTGTGACCCCATTTGGGGTTTTCCTGGCAAAGATAATGGGGTGGTTTACCATTCCTTCTCCAGCTTATTTTACAGATTAGGAAACTAAGGCAAACAGGGTTAAGTGACTTAGACTAGGTCACACAGCTAGTAAGTGTCTAAGGCTGGATTTGAACTCAGGGCCTCCTGACTCTATCCCAGACCCAGTGTTCTATCCACTATGCCACCTAGTTGCCTAATCTTATAGTCCACTAAAACCCCCAGATCATTTTCAAAATAACTGGGCTGAGACACTATCTTATGCTTCTGAAGTTGCTTTTTGGAAATAATAGAGAATATTTATCTTTATTGAATTTAACTTTACTTGATTTGCCAGATTTTTGTAGACTATTGAGATCCTTTTGGATCCTGATTTTGTCATCCAATGTGCTGTCGTTCCCAACTTAAAATCATTTGATGATTTAATAAGAATGATTTCTATGACTTCATTTTAGTTGTTGAAATCAGAGTCAACTGGATGGGACCAAGGATAGATCTGGGGGCACAGCAGTATAGATCTTCTCCCAAAGTAACATTAACCAGAAATGTTCACTCTATGGACCTAGTAATTCAACCTATCCTAGGAGGCTCTGGATGCAAGAGTTTTGACTTTGTTGTCTTCTCCTGATTGTATGTTTTGATCTTCTTTGTCACCAAAGTAAGATTCTATGGTCTGAGTTTTGTTTTTTTTTTTGCACTGTTTGTTCATGTTCCCAGTCAATTACTTGACTTTTAAATTCTTTGTTAAGGTAGGGGTCTGCTTCCAGTGTGGAGGATGTACTGTCCCAAGCTTTGGGGATTTTGTGTAGCTGTTTTCTGAGATACCTCTAGGGACTGGTATGATCAAGGTCGAGGTGGTATGAAAAAGGGCGAGGTGTTTACTCCTTTCCTGGCCTATGCTCTGGTCTATGAGTGACCACAAGCATTGTTTTATGCCTTGGAACTGTGAAGAAGATTCCCTCTCCACTGGTACCACAAGCTCCATCACGCTAGTGCTCCTCCTTGCCCCAGGAACACCACCTAGGACTGCAACTCAGATCCAAGCACAGGCAAAACAAGAGAATCCTGCCTCAGCACCAGCAAAGAGATCCCTGTAATCACCCTCTGATCAGTCGCTTGATCCCCTTACCATCTATGGGTTGAGAGCTCTGGAAGCAGCTGCTGCCCCAGGGCTGTGCCAGGACTGAGGCTGAACCACACTCCTCTCTCATTGAGGTCCAACAGACCTTTCCTACTGACCTTCTGAGTTGTCTTTGGTGTTTGTGGTTTGGGAAGTCTGGAAATCACTGCAGCTGCTAGTGATTCAGTCCCCTGAACCCTGCTCTGAGTTCACTAAAACCTGGTTTTTGCCTACATGGCCCAGGCTGAACTGTACTCTTCTCTCAGTCTGGCGCAACAGACCTTTCCCATCAACCATACAGGTTGTCTTGGGATGGAAATTTGTTTCACTCTCTGTTTTTGTGGGTTCTGCTGCTCTAGAATTTGTTTAGAGCCATTTTTTACAGGTATTTGGAGGAGTTTGGGGGACAGCTCAAGCAAGTCACTGCTTTTACTCCACCATCTTGGTTCCACTCCCAACCTATTCTAAATATATGTAACTGTACTGCCATCTAGGCCATAGTTCTAAAGGATAGCATGAGAGACTGTCAAATATTTTGCTGACATCTATGGTTACTATCAGTATTCTTTTGATCAAACAGTTTATTATTCTATCAGAAAGGATTATGAAGTTAACTGGTTATGACTGATCCCCAGATGAAGCCACAGTGGCTTTTAGTGATCATAAAATCCATTTCAAAGCATTCAAAAATATCTTTTTAATAATGTGTTCTAGAAACTTACCAGTAATAGAAGACAAGCTGCATATTCTATCCTCTTCTTTTTTTTGAAAATTGAGACAACATTTAACCTTCTTTAATCCTGTAACTTATCTTTGTCAGATAACTTACCTGACAACAGTTCAATTTTGCAAAGCCCTGTCCAGTTTAAAATATTGAGGATCAAATTTACTGATGACACAAGGATGGACAAAATGGCTAATATGTGGAATGGCAGAATTAAACTTCAAAATAGGGACAGCTAGGTGGCACAGTGGATAGAGCTCCAGCCTTGGAGTCAGGAGGACCTGAGTTCAAATCTGGCCTCAGACACATAACAGTTACTAGCTGTATGACCTTGGGCAAGTCACTTAACCCCATTGCCTAGCAAAATAAAAAAAATTTAAAAAAAACTTCAAAATAGTCTTAAAGGGCTTGGATGATGAATAGAAACGAAGATGAAACTTAATAGGGAAGAGGGTGTGTGTTTCAAAATTCCTTTCTACATATGCCCAAGGCTCATAAAAGAGTGGGTTCAAGAGATGGTATTCATTCCCTATTTTGATCTCATGGACTAAACACAGAAATCAGTTTTCTAGTAATCACTAGCTCAGTGAAATTATAGCATCCACAGTCCTCAATGACCTTGGATTTTTTCCCCTTTTCTTTTAACTCCCAACCTTCATATGTTTCCCCAGGATACCTGGTTGTGATTGTAACTTATCGTGGTCCTTATGGGCACATAGGAGTCATAGCAGCTGTGAAATCTTGATTGCTTCTGAACAGAGCTGGCCATCTTTTTCTGAGTCTTTTTTCCAGTGCTTAGCACAGTGCCAAGCACAGAGTAGGCATTTAATAAATGTTTATTAATTTACTGATTGAATCTTTCCATGTGGCCCCTGGCTACAATGACTACTCCTATTGCTCTCCTGAGAGTTTGAATAGAGAGAAAGATTTTGTTTTTTTCCTATCAGACAAAATTGAAGTTTAATGTTATAGGTCTTTCATAGAATTTTAAAACTATAAGGTACCTTAGAGATTGCCTAGTCTAGCACCCTAATTTTATTTCTTATATTTAAGGAAAATTAATTATATTTAAGAAATTGAAGCCCAGAGGGGTTAATTTATTTATCCAAGGCCACACTGTTGATCGAACTGGGACTGGATCCCAGGTTTCATAACTCTCAAAGAAATGTCCTTTCCTTGATGTCTCATTTTTTTTTTCAAACAAGCAAGGGAAGAGCCTTTAACTCGTAAGTCAGAAGAGGACTAAACAGGCAAAGAGTGATGGCTTAAGAGGTAAGGGGGATGAATATGAACATATGACAAATCTTTCATGCCTGATTTTATGGCAGATACTACTTAGTCTTCTCAGAGACTATATTGACTATGAAGCACAGATGGGAAAATTTATCCATTAAAAGTTATCCAATCAACCAACAGTGGTGAAGTTAATACATCCAGCCAAGTTGGAAAGAGTGGCTAATAAAAAAAAAGGATAGAGGAGCTTCTATTGTCACCCATATTCCAGAAAAGACTTTAATAATAATACCCTTGGGGAGAAGAATCAAGAACTAAACTGAGAATGCTTAGGGTAGACACATTTGTCACATATAGCGTATGTTGAGTCTATCTAGTTATAGAGAACACAGGAACATCTCATATAATTACCCAATGAAATGAATTTTTCAGTCAGTCTTATCTAGTGAGCTGCACTTATATAATTTATAGTCTCAGAGCTTTGCCTTAAAAAATGTGCTGTTTTTCATAATAATTTTTACCAGAAGATGTTTTCTGGGGCATGTGGTTTGAATTATTTTGAAGTACTGGGCATGATGCTTTGAAGATCCATACACATTATTTCTTGGATCCCCTTGTCACTAAGATGATGCATATGAGAGTTGGGTGTCAGGGATCAAGGTGGCAGATGATAACCATGAAGTAGCATAAAATGCTGGCATATACAGTAATAGAAGTGTGATTTCTATTTCCAAAGAGAAAAAGGAAGCAGGAGAGGAAGATTGATAAAGGTGGGGAAAAAAAGGACAGGAGAGGTAAAGCAAATCAAATATTTTTGAGGTTTGTTACTCATTTTATTAGCATGACTGTTCTTTCAACTCTGAATATGTGGGCCTATTTTTTTTTGTTTGTTTTTTTTTACTGAGCAATCAGGGTCAAGTGACTTGCCCAGGGTCACACAGCTAGTAAGTGTCTGAGGCTGGATTTGAACTCAGGTCCTCCTGACTCCAAGGCCAGAGTTCTATTCACTGCACCACCTAGCTGCCCCTCTATGTTTATTTTAATGAGGATATATCACATACACCTTTTCTAAAGTCTTACTTTGATACTTGATCATGGTATGGAGGTATACATGGATTCTTCAAGACTAGCTTAGTAGAGCACAAATCCTGGCAGGTCCTATCAAACTAAAAAGGCTCCAGGTACAGCCCAGTGATGCGCTGTAGGTGTTTGGTCTGAGAACTAGCTTAGCTAACTTCACAATGAGAGAGAGACTCCTACTACACGATATTTTTGGACATATCAGCCCATGAAAACCTTATACCCAAGGCCTGGAACATTTTTGTTCTGTGTCAGTGTAAGCATATCAAGCACAATGAAAACATAAGATGTTTGTAGTATTTTTGTTAGTCTATACCACATAATTCTAAGAATACCTCTAGTATTTTAGCATTGAGAATTTCAAAGTTCTCTAAGTATTATTGAGGGAAATATTAGTTATTGCTCAGCAAAGAGTGCTGGAAAAGATAAATGAAAACTATTTTTACCAAGAAATAGGAAGAAAGAAGGTTAACTGAAAACATGGACTATTCACCCTGAATGAATAATAAAGGGATAACTGAAAAATCTGTCAATTGCTATAATTTTCTTATTCAAGGATTTTCCAGATCTTATATTAACAAGAATATTAAATTTTGTTGTTACTAGGAGCTGAGAATTCCTGGGTACTTTTTTGAAGAAGAAGAAATGTGATTAAAGGTCTTCATCTAAAGAAGATTTGCACAGAATAAAAGGTCATGGATATTACTTACATTCCTTCTGACTTATCCAATTGTCTAAAATTTGGGAATAAATCCTGCCCACCTACCTCTAGACCACTTACTATCAGAGTGATAATGTACTCATTCATGACAGGAGCCATGTTTATCACTATCTTTGGAAACCTTGTTATAATAATTTCCATATTCCGTTTCAAACAACTTCACTCTCCTACCAACTTCCTGATTCTCTCCATGGCAACCACCGACTTTCTGCTGGGATTTGTCATTATGCCTTACAGCATGGTCAGGTCGGTGGAGAGCTGTTGGTATTTTGGAGACAGTTTTTGCAAATTCCATGCAAGCTTTGACATGATGTTGAGCCTGACTTCCATTTTCCATCTCTGTTCTATTGCAATTGACCGGTTTTATGCTATGTGCTACCCTTTGCACTATACCACCAAGATGACCACATCAACAATAAAAAGACTGCTGGCTTTTTGCTGGTCAGCACCAGCCATCTTCTCCTTTGGTTTGGTCTTGTCAGAGGCTAATGTCTCAGGCATGCAGACCTATGAGATTCTTGTTGCTTGCTTCAAATTCTGTGCTCTCACTTTCAACAAATTCTGGGGAACCGTACTCTTTACTACCTGTTTCTTCACTCCTGGCTCCATTATGATTGGTATCTATGGGAAAATTTTTATAGTTTCCAAAAAGCATGCTAGAGTAATTAGCAATATGCCTAAAAATGCAAAAGAAGATAGCAGAAAAAATATATCTAAGAAAAAAGACAGGAAGGCAGCCAAGACTCTGGGCATTGTAATGGGGGTATTTCTTGCGTGCTGGTTACCATGTTTCATTGCTGTTTTGGTTGATCCATATTTAGGCTATTCTACTCCTATGGTAGTGCTTGATCTTTTGGTGTGGCTTGGGTATTTCAATTCTACTTGCAATCCATTAATTCATGGCTTTTTTTACCCTTGGTTTAGGAATGCACTCAAGTACATTTTGTCAGGCAAAATCTTTAGCTCACAGTCAAGTACAGCAAACCTGTTCCCTGAAACCCATTAAAAATTGTACCAACAAACTGAATGAAAAATGAAATTTGAGGCTGTTAGTGTTCTGACCATCAAACAGCCTATTACAATTCAGACAGATAATACATGATACAGTCAAGTGTTTCACATACTACCTTCAATCATTGCTTCAACTAAAATTTATGAAGCTATTACTATGTCCTCAGGACTGAGTTTAAAAAATGTATGAGAGAGTGTTGTTGAGAAGATATTTGGAACACAATCCCTAGTTGGAGTGACAAAGCAGCATTCACCAACTTGGAGTCATACTTGACTCTTCCCTCTCCCTCACCATCTTTCCCCAATATCCAAGCAGTTGCCAAGTCTTCTTGATTCTACCTCTACAGTATTTTCCCCATCTGTTCCCTTTTCTCCATTCGATGTCCACTCTAGCTTAGATGCCTGTCATCTCTCACCTATAGTATTGTGGTAGTTTTCTAATTATCTTTCTGTGCCAACCTTTTCCCTCTCCAATATATCCTCCTCATAGTTGCTAAATTTATAATCCTAGTTTCTCTTATAATTCAGATTTCTCAAAAATCTTTGTTGCTTCTGAGATATAATAAAATGTGATCAGCCTGACAGGCTTTCCTCAGTCCGGTTCCTATCTACCAAGCTGGTTTTATTTCATACTACTCCCTTTCCTGTAATCATTATTCTAGTTAAGCTGTTCTGCTAGCTGTTTTTCATATATATCACTTCATCTTCTATATCCATATCCTTGCATAGGTCTTCATTGTCTCTCTGTTCAGCTTTACCTTTTGGAATCTCTAATTTCCTTCAAAGCATAACTCAAGCCTATATGAGCCTCTCCTGATTTTCCCCAGTTGCTGATGCTTTTTGTCTTTTGAAATTATTTTGTATTGCTTTGTACATTTTTAAATTTACTTATATGTATACATATTACTCTAGTAGAATGTAAGCTCCTTGAGGGCAAAGATTATTTCCTTTTTGTTTTTGTATCTCTAGAATGTTGCTTATAGGAGTTGCCTAATAAATGATTATTAAATGGTTGAATTTTTTATAAAAGTAATGGATAATTGAGTTTTAAAATGTATTGTTGAGGCATGGTCTAGCTATAGGAATTTGCAGAATGAAAGTTCATCTTGGGCTGGGTTAGTCAAGGAAGATTTCATGAAGGACATGAATCAAACTGGGCTATTTTTAAATTTTATTAACTTTATTATTTGTTTGACTCCTGAAAATTATATATTTTCAAGAGCTTTACAATATAGTAACAAAATTATATGGAGAAGAAAAGAGCTAGAATAACAAGAGAAATAATGAAAAGGTAGGAATTAAGGGTGAATATTACTTCCAGAACTTAAAATTATATTATAAAGAAATAAATATCAAAACAATTTGATATTGGTTAAAAGATAAGAGGTGAATTTTTAGCCAAACAAAAGGTAGAGGCAATTACAAAAAATAAAATATAATTTTGATTATATAAAATCAAAAATTTTTATATGAACTAGTTAATTCAACTAAAATAAGAAGGGATATGTTCAACTGGGAAATATCTTTGTATCAAACAGCTCTAATAAGGGTCTAATAGTATAGACAACTAATAGAAATACATGAGCCATTCTATAATAGGTAAGTGGTCAAAGGATATGAACAGTTATCAAAAGGAGAATTGCAAAACTATTAACAACCACATGAAAAAAGTGCTCACATCACTGCTGACATGAAAAATACAAATCAAAATAACCCTGAAGCTTCATCTTGCACTCAGAAAATTGACAAAGGTGACAAAAGATAGTAATAGTGTTGGTGGGACTGAGGAAAGATGAATATACTTATGTACTGACAATGAAGCTATAAATTGAGTCATCCACTCTTGAAAGCAGATTGGACTTAATGTGAAGACAATGACAAAAATGTCCATACCCTTTAATCCAGAGATTCTTGTCGTATATACCCCAAGATGGTCAATGAAAAAGAAAAGCTTAATATGCACCAATTATTTGTGGCAAAACTTCATATGTTAGCAAAGAACTGGAAACAAAATAGATGTACATTGATTGGGGAATGGTTATACAAACTGGGGGTCATGAACATAATGGAATATTACTATGCTGTCAGAAACAATGAATATGAAGAAGTTTGGGAAGACACGGGAACTGATGAAAAGTGAAGTAAGCAGAACCAGTAAATGATTACAACAGTATAAATGGGAAGGACTCCTTATCTATGCTTACAAGCTGTACTTCCTCTACAACACCCACTTTATTCCACTCCTGCTTTTCATCCCCTCATTTCTCAGCTTCCTATTATGTGCTTTTTTCCCACATTAAAATATAAGCTCTTTGAGGGTAGGAGATATCTTTCTGCTTAAATTTGTATACTCAGCACTTAGCATAATGCCTGCCACATAATACATGCTGAGTGTGAGAACAATAAAATAGCAATATAGTCAAAACTGATTGCTATGAAATTATGATGCCAAACTTGATTACAAAGAAGAGGTATGAGAATACATCTCTCTTCACTTCTTTGCCAAAGTTCTGGACTATAGATGCAAAATATTGAACAAAATATCAGTCTTTTGATGTATTGTTTAGTTATAGTCAATTTGCTTTTTTCTTACTCTTTTCTTTATATAAATAATATATTTCTTGCAGGTTATGGAAAGAGGAAAATATAGGTGATAGAAAAACAAAAGATATTAACTCCAAACTTATTTTTTAAGAAAGAAAATGATAATTACAATAATTAGTGTAGCATCATATAGTTCTCTCTCTCCCTTCTTCTTTTACACACACACACACACACACCCCAAATGGATGGCATTCCAAAAATAATTTATAGTTGATTGATTGTTTGGATCCCAAAACAAACTTTTTCACAGAAATAATGTTATAAATGGTGATTAGGTTTCCAGATAAACCTATTTAACCATAATGTAGTTGAATTATAACATTTATAGTATTACAGAAGAATCAGACCTTTACAAGAACGTGAAATAGATGACTTGTCTTCAGCAACCTCCACCCTGACTTTCTGCATCTTATTTCTATTTTTTACTTCTCTTTTATTTTCAGACTTCCCAGATTCCCCAATCATGTTTGAATCTCCCTGCTTTGCTGCCTCACCCAACCCTTATTATCTGCCAACACGCTCATTGTTTCAAAATTACCTGTTTTTTCTTCTCTGTATAAAGGAACAATTCTTTTGAAGGGTTAAGGCACTGATAACCCATGAAAGCTGTGGAGGTATAAATAATTCATGCTTTAAGTAAGTGGACCATTCCACAGACCTCTATGTAAAGTGATTTTTATGTGATGCAGATTTGCCCCTACCCACCCACTTCATTTAGCCTATATAACAAAATGTGGGTTATGGGTATGGCTCCCTCCCCATCTGGAAAATCAGTGTAAATTTTTTGGCTCTCCCTTTGTACCAGAGAAGTCTGAATCATTATGGTATTAAAAAGATAAAATATGTTGATATTATACAATATTATACATATATTTTATCCATTTATGAATTTCTAAACTTTTTCTGTGTTGTCTATAGGCCTTCATGTGTCATCTGCAGCTTCTACAAAACTCCAAAAAAATTCCCACTTAATTTCTTATGTTGACCCACAATAAACTGAAACTGCTATGGGAAAAGTGGTGATGTGGAAGCGATAACTGTAATACCTTTACAGAAATCATAAAAATTACTAAAATGCAGACATATAGATGCTATACCATGATCATAAACAGAATTATTAAATGAAAGGTAAAGTTAAAGTATGCACAGTACTGTGTAATAAAATTAACATAAGTGTGTAATATGCTGTTCTGTCCCCACCCATTACATCTAGCTTTTATCACTGGTGGTCAGCTGTGCAACTTTCTTTTTATGAACCTTTCAAGAGATGCTTACAAAGTGGCTCTCTTTTTTCCCTTGTATATCTGACAATAGCAAGCAATATTACCCTCAACTAGTTTTTGAACTTTTAAAAATTCTGAAGTATTTGAATCCAATTTCCAATACAAGAAAAAAGTTCACTCAAATAATGAAATGTTTCCCTTTCTTCTTCTGCAATCTTTGTAGCTAGTTAGAAACACTTATAAGGATTTCTTTAATTATTTCATGTAAAGTCGAATTTGCGTAATGTAAAATTACATAAAGTTATAACTATATTTGCATTCAACCTGGAAGATTCTTGCTTTTGTGGACCTTCAAGAGTAACAGAATAAAATGATTTTCAAGTAGATTAAAGATATTGTCATGTAAAATGGTTCCCACTGATAGGCTAGCCTTGCTTGAGAATCTGTCTTCTTGAGGTTAACTCCTTTAAACTATTAGTACTTATTGTAGTTTCTCCCTTTTATCTGCTTCTGAAATCAATTTTCATTTATTTCCATATCATTGTCCCGGGCAAGGGCAACCAGATCTCCAAAGGTATGGTGGAAGGAAGACTCATTTGTATACATTTATACGTATGAGTTATTTTTAGCCAATCCCCTCCTCCACATAAACACATATTTTAAGGATTTTTAAGATCACTGATGTGGGAACTCCATCTAGTGATACAGATGACAGCCCCTCTATAACTCAGTATATGATCTAGAATTGTAATGGACAAAAAGATTCATTCCTGAGGGCCATCCTTCTGATAATGAGTCTTATGAATTTAGCAGGTTCTTTCCTTAGACAAAAAGTGAAACACCGGGTCCCTACTTGAAACCTTTTTGACTTGGTAGGACCTATCAAATTTGTGTTGCATTGGCATAGCTTTTGAGAGCTTCAGGTCACCTCCAAATCACAATGAGGTATCCAGGAAGCAGTGAAACATGATTGATGAAGCAACTATATTTATATATAAACGTATACCTTTTCACATGCTATGCTCACAATAGCAATGCATCTGTTTTCATATTAAAATGTTCATTATGCTCACAAGAATTAGAAATTGCTAGTAGTTGATCCAAAAATGATGATTAACTCATTGAAGCCTTTTCCTTTGTTAGAGGAGTAAGGACACAGAACATCTAT